TAGCTTAAAGGTATTTTTGAAATCATCCTTCTATCTGCAGACCTTGAGCCCCTGAGTTGGGCTGCAGACAGCATCTTCCTTTCAGGGCCCATAGTCAAGAATCCACCCCGAGGGTAATCTCTACAAGAATTCTTTGGAAGATGTGAACCAGGCTCCCTTTTCTTTAAAGCAGGAGTGAAAAAGAAGGCAATGCTAGTGGTGTCTCCATCTTTCATATCACGATCGGGGGTCAGAGCACTCGGCCAGGATATGAGACCCACGTTCTATCCCATGCTCACTCTGTGGGGATTTAATTTCATATCTTCCCTAATTCCCAAGCTATATCCCTAATTCCCATTCCATGGGAATGAAGCCCTGGGCAAAACTTGTCCCTCACTTCCTCTCCCAAAGTATTTTTTAATAGTGATTTTATGAGAATAAGATATGAATACAGTGAGAGAATTGCCAAAAAGAGGAGGAAGAGGAAGGGTCTCATCTTCCTGTATCTCTGAAATAGCTTAACTGATTCACAGCATTGCTTTCCAGGAAAAGAACTCATTCTACCTAGTGACCTGTCAGGCAAGCTTCAACCTGATGCAGCGTACAGTGGCTGATACTGAATATCTTGCTGCATCCTAAGAATTTGATTTTTATTGGTGCCAGTTCTATAGCAACACAAGAGGATTGCTATGGACCAACCTGTCATGCCTTCCCTGCAATTAAATAGAATTCAGCAGCATTGTACTGAAATACTACGCTGAAAAATGTTAATGAGATACCCATGTGAACACTTGGTGGCTTGTTTAAAAATAAATATTAGTGTGCCTCAATCTTTTTTGAATGCCAGGTAGCACATTTGGTTGCATATGGTGCCTATTTAAAACAATTCCTGCTTAGCACAGCACATGGGCTGAATATGCACAAATTAAAAATGAAAAGCCATTTTTATTCTAGGGTATTTTGAAGGAGATAATCCCCCAACTGTCATGAAGTCAGGAGCAGTTGGGCATCTAACTCCCTTTTACCTGTTCTGAGAATCCCACCCATAAATACTATATCATGAATAATAATTTATACCACTTCTGTAACAAAATGCCACCTGGGCACTTTTGTCAAATTTGACTCAACTTGGTTTAGATTCACTGGTTTATTAGAACACCAGAAAATTAAGGGTTTTTAGATGGAAACATTTCAGGTATAATATTGTAAAACAAGCACCTCTAAGAAGCAAGCTCTTGAAGTTGGATCACCCATTTGGTGCAAAATGCCTTATATATAATAAAATAATGCCTGATGAAAGTCCTAAATTAGAAATCCAATCCATCTTTTCAAATATCTTGAGTTTTTTAGCATCTCTCTCTCTCTCTCTCTCAGGATGCAGAAATAGGTTCTAATTTAGTCAGACTTCCATCAACTACTGCAACAGCCCTAAAAGAAAATGATGGTAGCATCTACTGTCAACCTGAAACAATATATGAAGGTGAGTTGTTCCTTAGAAATCCTGAAGTGTCTTTTCTTAAACTTAGGTTTGTTAGGATACAAGTATCTTTATTAAGTCTTAGTATTCTTTCTAAAAAAACCCCCAAACTGAGAGATTCCCTCCCCCCGTCCTCAACATTAAGTCCCTGATCCTGAAATGAGGATCTGCATGGGTCTGGGGCTTTGACTCGGTAACCTGATTGCTTCTATATGAATAACAAATGTAAGACTAATGGGCAGTGCCTATTTAAGGATCAGCTGTATTAAGAGCATATTATGAGGTCAAGATCATGGGTCAGATCTGAGATCTAGGGCTTAATTATGTAAGGTGCTGAGAGCTCTTCCTTCCAAAAAGGAAGTGGAAGCTTCCTACTTTCAGGTTCAGGCTCTGAATGTACATTTGGGAGAATTGAGTTTCCAATAACATCTGTTACAACCCCAAATTTTGAACAGTTTAGAAGGAGTTTAAGTCCTGATTCAGACTTTGCAATGATGCAATCTAAAATAATACTCCCTGCATCAACTCTTTATGTGAAAATGATTTAGCAAATTATTCTATAAAGAAATAGCTTTTTATGTATTGCTTTTATGCAGATGGTTTTGTTGAAGTACAAATGTTTTTACTTCTCCAGCTATTTTCCTTTAAGAGGTAAAAAGAATAGCATAAAAGGTATATATTTATCTGTTTACTTTGTGGTGAGGGAGACCCTCCAATTATCTTTTGACAGCTAAACAAACATACTAGGTATTTATACACTTCCTTTCCTTTTTTGTGTCCTTGTGACAAGGTATTTAACGGAGTTCACAGATTCATTGGAATCGGACAGGCCATGCCATAAGCACTTTTGCCTTGGCCTAATTTGAGATCTCCGGGCTGTCACCAACGTACCTTAGCACCCACACCATCCCAGCCCAGTATTTGCAGACATGAGAAAAGTAACTGAACAGCAGTAATATAAATACACTGGGGTCTATGAGGCTGTTACTAACCATGAATGAAATGTTAGTGGTTTATGAACTCACAACCAACCCTAGCTGTACTATATTTATATACCTGTTCAGTTTTTCAGAATGTTTCCATATATCTCGATATGCAAGAGCTACCTTAGACACTGGCACGGTACATATATATTGGAAAGGACGTGTGTTTTCTCTTTGAAGAGTTCTTTTATATGTCAGACCCTTATTTTAATATGCCTTAAATGTATAGTTGTATTCTTTTCTCTTTGTTACCAACACACAAGTTCCATTTTTCCTTCAGGAATAGAGCTGCCTCGCATCAATTACGACTATAATGGCAAAAAATACAGATACATCTTTGCTGCAGGAGTTCAGTGGAGTCCTGTTCCCACACAGGTATAATGTCTTTGTGTGCTTTATACCTGTGTAATATAAATGAAATTAAATAGTATGCACCTAGTGCATGGTGTGTTATTTCACCGAACCAACCCTACATGAGTTAATTGTGCCCTAATTGACATCCACGTAACTGTACTACAGTCTTCACAGTCTACTACACTCTGAATTGTGGTTCTGCTTTGTAATGTGACTCTTCTAAAGACAAACTTTTTTTTCCTTAAACAAGTTAAAGTTTGCTAAGTGGCAACCAGTGTGCTTTACCGCTCATATTTACAGACTACAACATTTGAAAGCAGAGATGAAAAGTTGAAAGCGTGCGTAAATCTTACATCGCCCATAGGAGAAAAAATTGATCCAGAAAAATTGATTTCATTTAGTGTTAGTCAGTTTGGCTCTGTTCTAGAGCTATGTCAACTTGGTACCAGCCTGAGACTCTGGACTGTTATCACCAAGTAAAAAAAATCATATTCATCACAACAGAGTCTCCATTCTGACCCACTGATACTTTTCAGGAAGTTTTCATTTAATTTCTGCTAGAGGACCAGCTGGGGAGAGAGCAAAAACCACATTTGTATGCACATGCCCCTGATGCCAGTTTCTAAAGACACAATCCCAAGAGCATAAATGGTTTTTAAAATGGAAAAATAACATTCGCTAAGAATGGGAGATATAGGTAAGCTGACTCTCAATTGTTGTTCATTCAGCAATATCTGAGCAGACAATTAAATACAGCAAGCAAACAGAACAAATTATTTCAACAGATTACAAAATAAAGTTGGATTTATTTATGATGCAATAAAATTTGTCACAGCATGTGTGACATTCACTCAACCAAATCTTTGTGATACCTAACAGAGGTCATTCTCTTTGACATAACTGAGGTTGTTGTGTCAGAGGGTTTATTTTTTTTGTTATGCAAGAGATGAATCAATCGATGTTTGTGACATGTAACAACAGTGCAACGTATAGGCCCAAGGCAGTGTCCCTAGGGTGCTGGCTCATCTTTGCTCAGATAGGAGAACTCAAAAGTAATAGAGACTGTAATTAATTTGAATACCATTACATTTTGTGTTGAGACTCCCTTCAAATTGTTGTTAAGAAGAGGAACTATATGACTTTATGTGTGCTGCTGTAGACAGTGTAACTCAACTGAATGTAAAACCAAGAAAAAGACCCTATCTTTTTTATGGGAGTTGGGTGGATCAGGCACATGGTCCGCCCTAAGAGCCTACATCAGGTATTTACTGAGACATATATAGTACATGGGTGGAATCCTGGTCCCACTGGTTTAATAACTATTTAAACCATCACAGTGAACTGTTACTATTTTTTATGCTTGCCCTACTTAAGGTTTTTGAGACCACACCAAAAAGGAAATAATGGCTAAACCACAGGATGAGGAGCTGGTCAGGCTGAGCTTTATCCTTACTTTATTATAAACTTCCTGTCTGACTTTGGCCAAGTCACTCCAACCCTCCTGTGCCTCAGGCTCCTCCTTTGTAAAATGAGGGTACTATTTATGCCATACATACGGCTTTCATGAAGCTTAATGAATATTTATGCACAGTTCTGAGGTCCCCAAGTGAAAGGTGCTATTGTAAAGTAATGAAGCAGTATCAGTTCCTGCTTTGCTGTCTTCCCAGTGTAATGGTTTCCTCTTAAAGGAAAAACAAAATTCCATGTTTATGCAACCACAAACATAACTTTGGAGCCTAAAACGTCACATGCTCCTGCTTTGGTATGCCACAGCGAGCATCCCATGTTGCTCCTTGACTCTCACTACTGGCTCCCAACGCTACTGGGTCATATGTTACATAACTTTGAAGTAAATGGCTACAATGAAGGGTGAAATATTGTGTTTGTCTTTACAATTTAGATCGTAAAAGTGGATGTACTGACAAAGAAATCCCTGACCTGGAGGGAGGAGCACTGCTGGCCGGCTGAACCTACCTTTGTCCCTTATCCTCATGCAAAAGAAGAGGATGATGGTAAGAATGCTGCTCCAACAAATGGGGGACAACACTTCTATCAATATGTGTAGCACTTCACAGTCAGGATCAAAGACAATTAAGATGTGTCCAGTTTTGGGCCCCCCACTACAGAAAGGATGTGGACAAGCTGAAGAGAGTCTAGTGGAGGGTTACGAAAATGATTTAGGGGCTGGAACACATGACTCCAGAAGAAAGGCTGAGGGAACTGGGCTTATTTAGTCTGCAGAAGAGAAGACTGAGAGGGGAGTGGATGGCAGCCTTTAACTACCTGCAGGGTGGTTACAAAGAGCTGGACTGTTCTCAGCAGTGGCAGATGACAGAACAAGGAGCAATGGTCTTAAGTTACAGCAAGGGAAGTTTAGGTTAGATATTAGGAAAAACTTTCTCACTAGGAGGGTGGTGAAGCACTGGACCAGGTTACCCAGAGAGGTGGTGGGATCTCCATCCTTGGAGGTTTTTAAGACCTGGCTAGGCAAAGCCTTGGCTGGGACGATGTAACTGGGGCTGGTCCTGCTTTGAGCAGGGGGTTGGACTAGATGTGACCTCCTGAAGTCCCTTCCAAACCAAATCTTCTATGATTCTATGAAAACTCAGAAGTTTAATAGTTTCATTATCTCTGACCCCAGTAAGAAAAAGCAAAGAAACAACGGGCAAATTGAGCTTTTGTCTACTCTTTTAAAAGGAAACATCATCAGATAAAACCCTCTGGACATTTCATGTTGTCCCCTGGAGCCCACACTGAGGGATTTTTAAAGCTGGTAGAGTGGTCTTGGAGCTTGATTCTCTTTATTACTACAGACCATTGCCAATGTATGCAGTAGGATTACAGTCTCCCATGTAATCTCTAGCCAATCCTGATCTGGACTGACCACCAGTAAAGGTGAATGGGAAGTTTGGTCTCAAGGGCTCATTAAAATCAGAAGCTTTCCTGTTGAAATTTCCAGCAATGTGGCTAGTTGTGATGTGAGCTCTCCTCCAGGATACAATTAACTGAGGCCACTATTTTGGTGTAAGTTTATTCCTTAGTGCACACTATGCACACCCAGCAACAAGTACAGAACTGAGGTATTCATTAATGGGTGTGTCTTTTATCCTGTTCTCAATTCCACGCTCCTTAGGTATTATTTTATCCTCCATTGTGACATCAGATCCCAGGAAAGCACCGTTTCTGCTCATCTTGGATGCTAAAACTTTCACAGAGGTGGCTCGGGCCACAGTAGATGTAGAACTGCATCTGGACCTACATGGCATGTTTGTACCCGAGAAGGATCTGAAGAGCCAGGAGGACTGAAAGCACTGTCCATTTCGTTAGTTGGACATCCAAATGAGACAACCCACCTACAGAACCTTGGGAAATCCCTCTTTTGTCATGTGGGAAGGACCATTATTGACCAAGCTCTTCTATAAAGTAACTTTTCACTACAAATAATAGAGATGGGCACAACTGGCAAATAACTACTAGGTGTCAACATATAAATAGGACAAACTCCAAATATTTCTCTTGCTCCCCCCACCACAGAAGTTGCGTGCAGTTTTGTGGAGCGTCCTGTTTCTGTCCATATATCATATGAACTAACTCATACAAATGGATGTTTGAGCAAGCAGAGGTAGTGTACTTACAGTGCTGTACAGCAGAGGGGCTCAACCCCCATCCAATGGTCAGATCTGGCCCATAGAGCCATGTAATCCAGCCTACAGGTCTCCCCACAAATCTGGAAATTTGGCAGTGGGGGAGTGGTGGCAATTAACACTGCCATCACTCCCCTGCTGCCAAATTTCTAAGCCCCACATGGATGGATCAGCCCCAACCAGGCCAACCTCACATGGTGGGATCGGGCCCCGTCTCCATGTGGTTGGATCAAGCCAGGGCCTGATGTAGCCACATAGGAACAGCCCAGCCGGGGTTCAGTAGAGCTGGCCAGGAACAGGCCTTGGCTGGGCTGTTCCCATGCAGCTGCACTGAGTCTTGGTTGTGCCCACAGATTGGATCTGGTTGATGGACAGACCTGGCACTGCTCATCTGGCCTGTGGGCTGAAAAGATTGGGCACCACTGGTGTACAGTGTGACTTTTGGGTTCTGCAACACACACAGATTGCTTCAGGTCTGTGTAGGATGATCAAAATTTCCCCTGTCAGAAATCCTGACATTTGTCTATTTGCCATGAATCGTTTGTGCCATCACTTTATTTAAGGTCCCTTCTGATCAAAATGAAACATTCAACTGAGCTGCTGCAGCTTTCTAATCAAAAGCCCTGAGAATGTCACTTTATTCATCATCTTGTAACATTTATAGGCTTGCAGGTATTTTCCCCCTTTTTGCAATTAAGACTCTGCAGCCAGATGAACTTATTGCAAATCTAACATGTTTTTATATCACATTTAACTATTTTAATGGTTTTCAGTTTTAACTGTACCAACCTTTGAACTTCATTTTCCCTTTCATTGTATTGTCTCAAAGGCAGTCCTTGAGCTCTCTACATATAGTGTCAGTGTGCATGCTGGTAGGAATAGTTATGATACGAGCAGAGATTGGATGCTGAAGTTTAACAAGTTACATGTTTTAGAGTATTAGACCTAACTTAGGCCCTATCTGAACTAAAGAAAACCTATATTTTCTGTCACTGTTGTATTTAGGCGTTTGTACTATGATCTGCTTAGGAACATGCAGAGTTTGGTTTGTGGTTGCTGTTTTGGAAGGGATAGACATTTGCTAATGTCCCTTAAAATTCAGCATCATTCATACTTGCAACTTTAAGGAAGATTTAGAATACTGGTGCCCCAGAGCATGGGCATGTGTGGTTGGTTTGTTATGTGAATGGGCCCCAGAAGCGCAAATTTTTCTAAACTTGAGAATTATTTTCTTTAAGAAGTGTGACCCCTGGGTCCTTATGCAATGATTTATCTTACCACTGTAGACATCTTTTGCAAATGTATTTTTAAACTTGTGTTCCTTCCACTCCAATTACCTATCTCTCTGGCTTGATACTTGTCTGACCCTCCTCACCCTCATATCTGCATACCTCACTATCTTTAACTTAGTTATCCTTACAACACTCCTATGAAGCAGCATAATAATATTACCTACATTTACAGATAGGAAACTGAGAACCAGATCAAAATTACCAGGAGTGGTAGATACTTGTCTCCACTGTGAGAGACCAGGGTTCAATTTCTAGACATGTATATATTTCCTGCCTCAGGCCAGGAGTTGGGCTAGATGACCTGTGGAAGTCCCTTCCGGCTCCATGACTCTATACTCTAAATTATCTCATAAGAAACTGGCCTTTAGTAAACTACCCAGGACCACACGAGATATTTGTGATAGAGAAGGAATTGAATCACCCTTCCTCAGTCCCTACTTGAATTCTAACCAGTAGATTTCCCTGCCTCTACTTAAGTATTTATAGCTGGCAATCTACATCGTAAGTATAGGGAATGTACAGTATATGTCACAATACTCTAAACCTAGATTGTACATTAAGCAATTTGGAGCATTCAAATATTTGCATACATTCAAACGGATTTCCTCCATAAAATTTAGCTTGTCAACATGATGTGTGGATATGAAAGGCCTGTTGAAAGTCTCTGGGTTAAGGTTAGAGGGGATAGCAACAAGGGTGATGTGGTGGTGGGGGTCAGCTATAGACCACCAGACCAGGAGGAAGTGGTGGACGAGGCTTTCTTCAGACAACTAGCGGAAGTTTCCCAGTCACAGGCCCTGGTTCTCATGGGGGGACTTCAATCACCCTGACGTCTCCTGAGAGGGCAATACAGCAGTGTGCAGGCAATCCAGGAAGTTTTTGGAGAGCATTGGAGGCAACTTCCTGGTGCAAGTCCTGGAGGGACCAACTAGGAGCTGTGCTCTTCTTAACCTGGTGCTCACAAACAGGGAAGAATTGGTGGGGGAGGTAGAAGTGGATGGCAAGTTGGGTAGCAGTGACCATGAGATGACTGAGTTCAGGATCCCGAGGAAAGGGAGGAGAGCAGCAGAGTATGGACCCTGGACTTTAGAAAAGCAGACTTTGACTCCCACAGGGAACTGATGGGCAGGATCCCCTGGGAGGCCAGCCTGATGGGGAAAGGAGTCATGGAGAGCTGGCTGTACTTTAAAGAAGTCTTACTGAGAGTGCAGGAACAAACCATCCCGATGTGCAGGAAGACTAGCAAGTATAGCAGAAGGCCAGCTTGGCTTAGCAGGGGACTCTTCAGTAAACTTACAAAAAGAAAGTATTGCTTGAGCATGCAGGGACGAAGTCAGGAAGGCCAAAGCGCAATTGGATTTACAGCTAGCAAGGGATGTGAAGGGTAACAAGAAGGGTTTCTGCAAGGATGTTAGCAACAAGAGGTAGGTCAGGGAAAGTGTGGGTCCCTTACTGAATGGGGGAGGCAGCCTAGTAACAGGATGCAGAAAACGCTAAAGTACTCAATGCCTTTTTTACCTCAGTCTTCATAGGCAAGGCCAGCTCCCAGACGACTGCACCTGGCAGCACAGTTTGGGAAGCAGGTGAGCAGCCAACAGTGGCAAAAAAAAGGTTAGGGACTATTTAGAAAAACTAGATGCATACAAGTCCATGGGGTTGGACTCAATGCACCCAAGAGTGCTGAGGGAGTGATGTGATTGCAGAACCACTGGTCATTATCTCTGAAAACTTGTGGTGATTGGGGAAGGTCCCACATGATTGGGAAAGGACAAATATAGAGCCCATCTTTAAGAAAGCAAAGAAGGGAGATCTGGAGAACTACAGACCCATCAGCCTCACCTCAGTTCCTGGAAAAGTCATGGAGCAGATCCTCAAGAAATCCATTTCTAAGCACTTGAGGGAGAAAAACATGATTAGAAACAGTCAGCATGGATTCAGCAAGGGCAAGTCATGCCTGACCAACCTGATTGCCTTCTATGATGAGATGACTGGTTGTGTGGATGTCGGGAAAGCCATGGATATGATAGACCTTGACTTTAGCAAGGCTTTTGATGTGGTCTCCCACAGCATTCTTGCAAGCAAGCTAAGGAAGTATGAGTTGGATGAACTGACTGTAAAATGGATAGTAAGCTGGCTGGCTCAATGGGCTCAATGGCTCAAGGTCTAGTTGGTGTTCGCACTGGATTTATAACCCAGATACCTTGTTCCAGGCAAACCCAAACCCCCAGACCAACCATGACCTTTCCATTCAATAATAGGCAAATTTTATTGATACACAGTGATAACAAAAAAGAATAATACAAGCAGTTCTCCTCAAGTTCCCCTCTCAGGGAACCTTTTTTGGGGACCCCTCTGTCATAACCCAAAGGTATGATTTTGTGCGTGCTTCAGCACTAGAATTATCCCCGCCAAATTGCAGCTTCGTTGCACGGTGGAGTTTTCTGCTGCAGAGGAGAACCCCGGTGCAAGGAAGAGTTTCCCGCCTATTTGCAGCTTCCTTTGCAGAGTGCATTGCTCAAGTTGCAAGAGAAATGCACGGTGCAAAGGAGTTCCCGCCACCCGCATGCAAATTGGTTCCCCGCTATTGGCTAGTTCTAAATTATTCCCACGTGGCGGCTAACGATTGGCCTGTTAGCCGTATAAGAGGCTTGAGCGGTTTCCGCCCAAGCCGAAGAGGACTCCACATCCATCTCGTGGGGACTCTGGGTACACGGCAGGGAAATAAAGACCCCTGTGTGAGATTCAGAGGAGCTTGGCAACCTGATCCATCACCCACCTCTTCCCGTCTTCAAGCGATAATTTTATAAGACGTATCTACGAAGTTCCTATTTCGGTGGCGCGCTTGTCCAGAGCATCCGGAGCTCTGTTTCTGTGGAGCCTAGCAAACTCCACATGACCGTTCGTGTTGTCTGCACCGCAACCATCTTCGGTGTAAGTAAACAATCTTTAAATCTACCACTACGAGTCTGTGCCTAATTCTAGCTTGACGCGCGCCCTCTCCGACCCCGCGTGCCTGGGCTGCTGGCCACAGCCCGCGTGCAGCACGAGAAAGGGCCCGGCTCGCGCCCGGCCCGCACACCCTCTAGGGAACCCTTTGCTGTTCTAAAGTCCCTTCTTTTGTATTCTTTCCCCCTCCTGATGACTCCCCATCCATGATTATTGCTGATTGGTCTTTCTGTGGTTGTCATATTGTCCACGTTCTGTCCTGTCAGCGTATTCCTTTGTTTCACAAGCCTATCACATGCACACATTCTAATTTGGGCTTTCCAGATCTCCTAATTTGATCTGTTCCCCCAAAACTGGAACCTCAGGCCCCCACTCTCTTGGGCCTTGTGAGCTGATGCCACCATATCTCATGTTATGGAACAATATGCCCACAATTTCCCAAGCTATGTGTATATCCATTGGCCTTGTGTTAGAAACTGTCTGTCTTAAAGGCTGTAAGAACTGTGCAGCCGTATGACCCAGCCTTTAGAAATCAATTAAACTTTGCTGCCACCCTGGACTATTGTTCTAATACAAATATATATATTTACCTACAAATCAAGTCCCAAAAGAAACCTCTAAATACCATTTTCTAGCCACCAGTTGGCAGCTGGTATCAAGTAGAGTGCCCTGGAGGTCAGTCCTTGGGCTGGTTTTGTTCAACATCTTCATTAACAACCTGGAAGATGGCATAGAGTGCACCCTCAGGAAGTTCACGGATGACACCATGCTGAGGGGAGTAGTAAATATTTGAGGGAAGTGATTATTCCCCTCTATTCAGCACTGGTGAGGCCACATCTGGAATACTGTGTCCAGTTTTGGGCCCCACACTACAGAAAGGATGTGGACAAGTTGGAGAGAGTCCAGAAGAGGGCAATGAAAATGGTGAAGGGGTTGGAGCACATGACTTCTGAGGAGAGGCTGAGGGAATTGGGCTTATTTAGTGTGCAGAAGAGAAGACTGAGAGCAGATTTGATCTCAGCCTTTAACTACCTGAAGGGTGGTTTCACAGAGGATGGAGCTGGACTCTTCTCTGTGGTGGCAGATGACAGAACAAGGAAAAATGGTCTCAAGTTGTGACCCAGGAGTGAATCAAGATTTGTTTATTAATTTCTAAGGAAGCAAAATGTGCAACATATGTTGGAGTGGAAATGTAATGACAATTTATTCTATGACTTTTTTTCAGTCCTTCATCTGATGGCCTGCTCTATGCCTACTTAAAATGCACAATGTAGGAGGGATTAATATGTTTTATATAGTCTTAAAATGAGAAGTATGATAACAAAAACCTGTAAGTTCAGTTAAGAGCCACTAACCAACTGAAGGTGTAATCCATGTACCACTGACTTGGAAGAAAAATGGACTGGACCATAACTCTTTAAATTCTCTGTCTGGCTGGAATGAAGACTAAAATCTTTCAAGGAGGTGCTCTAGCAATCTTCAAGATTCATCTTATAAGATGGTATTAGGGTATACATAGCACCCTAATGTGTGGGCTGACAGTATCAAGGGGGTGTAGGTTGTTTCCTGAAATGAGGTAGGGCTCATTGCTTCCTTTGCTGTAGCAACTTGGCATAAATCCGTGCCTGTGAAAGGGGTACGTGGTAATCAGTTTACATCACAGTGACTTGTTTCCTTGACATTCTTGATGAAGACTGGGACGAGAGAGGCTGATACCCCCTTGGACTGGCAAGAAACAGGAATAGCTCTGAGAAACCAGTGAAGTTATACCAGTGTATGTGAAAAGAGAATCTGGTCTAATGACTGCAAATTGAGGCAATGCTAATGAACTAGTTCAAATAACCTTAGAAGACAAAAAAATATCACTGTGCAACAGAACAGGTCACTAGGAATATTTACATCCTGTAATTGCTCCCAAGATGTTAAAGTGACCCTTGTAACATCCTGGTACCAGCATTTATGTGACTCATCAATTAAAGGAAAGGTTTATTAAACTGAACAAATGAAGCACAATAATTACTTTATTCTACCGGAAGTGGATATTAGTTGTTACACCTGCTCTTATTGCTCTACATATAGTGTGGGAGGGAGCCGGCTCGTTGTTTACTAGTTTGAATTAAAACCAAAACTACAATTATGTTTTCATACATCATAATAGCACACACAGGTGCCAGTGAAAACAAAACAAGCTCTTCCTTTTTAGATAAACCAGGCCACTCAATGACAGCTTTCAAATTAATTTATTAAGAGCATTACTTCCTTGGTTATGCAATTCCCAAAGTATTAGAAATAGCAGGTGAAACACATGACCCCTTAGCCAATACTGTGGTGTACTAACTTCTTTCAACCTTTATCATGCTCAAAGGGGCTTGAGAACTATCCCCAGTGACTTGACTGATCCCAATGAACGGAGGACACTCAGGACCTTGTACGATTATAGCCAAATCAGAAGCATTTTCCTTTCAGTCTTTTAGACTATCTATTTGTGTATGGTTTGTATTGCACTTATCATGTTCTATGAAGTATTTCCCTGCTGGTGTTCTGTGAAAATGTAGTCTCTTTTATTCTTATGCCTTTATAATTGTTATGTTATACTAGACCAATGCTTTTTAACCTGTGGTCCACGGACCCCTGCAGATCTGCAGCCTATGTCTAAGGGGTCTGCGAAAGATGACTATGATCGATCAAAAGTATGTGAATACCCACCCTTACACCTCAAAGGAGTCCATGTCTCCATTTGAAATTTCCAAAGGGGTCTGCAGCTCCATTCAGAATTTTTTAGGGGTCCACAAATGAAAAAAGGTTGAAAACCACTGAGCTAGGCATGAAAATTATTTTCCACATCTGCATGACTTAGACTGTGGTCATACTGTTCCTGTTTGGTGAACCCCCTATTCAGTAAAGCGCTTGCATAAATGTGAACTTCAGTGTTGTCTACAATGGGGTTGTCCAGATGCTTAACAGCTAAGCACTTCCTTCAGTGATTTTCTGTATCAAGGCTTATGTCCCAGTGATCTCCATGTAAAGAACAAATTGTTGCAGCCTAGCACTATTTTATGGATCTGAAAGCACAATGTTGTCCTTGCAAAACCACTATTTATTTCACCTTCGTTATAATTTTAAAACTATTTCACTCTAATTCTTCCAGTAACAGAACTACCGAAGCTGTTCCCAATCTGGTTAGGCCTTACACATATTATAACATACTGTATTACATAACATACATATTATAATATACTATGTTAATACAAAATGTTAATATGAATACAACTTTCTTTTACAAATCATGTCCAACATCACAGACTAAGAAAAGTTGAGAACAAAACGAACCCACGCTAATGCATAAGAGGGGATCAAGCACGATGCAATTAGGATAAAGCAGCATCACAGTTTTTAAAGTGTTTCTTTTCAGTGCCAAATCACAGGTCTACTCTCACTCAAATAGTGAATGCTATTAAACAAAAGTTAAAACAGCTAGGAGGACAGTTCCTTGTGGGCAATTAAGGCATACTAATACAAGGCCTAAACATCTTGAGTACAATCCTTTTAAATAAAATCTTTATGCCTGGAAAGGACTGGCTCTGGTTCCTTTCTGGAAATATTAGCCTGGCAGATGCTTCCACGAAAAGAAGCGCTGTCCAAATGAATCTCACTTTATTTCTCATTTTCTTTTCTTTTTTTCCTACAAGGATTAGCTGGTCCTGGGCACAGAGACAGAACGGTCTAATTGAGGTCAGCGTCGAGGCACCTTGGCAGGAAAACACAGGGAAGCTCGCGCTGTCGGTATCTATGTTGTATCTTTTCTGTAGTTGAGTAAAAGACCATTTTCCCCTCTTCTCTCTACCAATCCTGGCCACCCCGACTGCCACCTTCCAAAACCTGATTCACGTTTAAAGAATACAGGTTAAAATGCTCGTTTGTTTTTTTCCTACAAGGATTAGCTGGTCCTGGGCACAGAGACAGAACGGTCTAATTGAGGTCAGCGTCGAGGCACCTTGGCAGGAAAACACAGGGAAGCTCGCGCTATGTTGTGCCTTTTCAATAGTTGAGTAAAAGACCTTTATTCCCCGTGCTCTACCGGGCCTGGCCGACCCGACTGCCGCCTTCCAGAAGCTGACTCATGTTTAAGGAATACAGGTGACAACGCTCATTTGTTTTACAAACTATAAAACCACGTAGCTGGAGCGGGATGCTTCGTCGCAGGGCTTTTACGGAAGAGC